TCCTTTTTTTTTGTTCTTGGTGGAATGTGTTTCTGGTAAATTGACATGTGTTTCTGACAGCATGTTTAGTGTTAAATACAGCACTATTTGATCTTCACACTTTTTATGGAAAGTATGTTTCTTAACTGATTTGTCCAGTGTTTGAGAGCCATGATTTGAGAAATGTGGATGAGAGGTGGAAGTTTTGAGACCTTGAAAAATCTTCAGATGCAATTTTTCTTTCCTCGTATTTCATTTTTAATTTTCCCAAGTACTGATTTCTGGATTTAAAACACTTTTCCCTCAGAATTTATAAGACATCACTCTATTTTATCTTAGTTTCCAATTTTGCTGTAGAAAGCTCAATGCCACACTTATTTTTAATCTCTTTTACTTTTATCTTTTGTATGTATACAATATGTGATATATAAACTCTCACTTTGTCTCTAGTGTTATAAAATTTTATGGTAACATACCTTGGTGTAGGTCTATACGTATGCTCTATGGTTCCTTTCAAACTAGAAAATCATGATTTTCAGTTATGGGAATTGTACTTTACTTACTTATTTGGTTATTTCCTCCCCTCTATTTTCTCAGGTCAGTCTTCCTAGAGATATTCAGGTTTTGAATTTCCTGGATTGATGCTTTAATTTAGGGAGCTCTTCCATCTCTGTATTTTGCCCTATATTATGGAGAATTTCCTGATGGTTATCTCAACTCACCTACTGAGATTTTAATTTTGGCAATCATATTCTTAGAGTTCCTTGTTTACTGCTCCCTTTCTGTAGCAACACATTCTTGTTTCACTGATGCCATGTTTTTGTTTTTAGTAGATGACACTATCGATTATAGGTTTTTTTAAGTTTTTTTTTTCCATTTTATGTTTCTTCCAAGTGGCTTTTTTCTGTATGTTTGTTTTGTCCTCGATCTTTGCTGTTTAAGGTTTTCTTTGTAATCTAGTGATCCTGAATTAGTAGCGTGTGCATAAGAGACTGGGTCACTTTAAAGCTGATTACAAGCCCTGTTCATTGGATAGATGTTATCACCAGTGGGCCTCTCCATAAGATAATATTGCAGGGCTGTTTCACTGAGAAACTTCTAATATCCCTATCTTTAGGTTTTGTTTTCTGTGGTTGTTGTTGTTGTTGTTGTTGTTGTTTTGTTTTTGACCAGGTCAGATTCCTGAGTAAAGGAGAGATAAGCCAGGCTCCGTCATGTTCTGGAAGCCATGTAGGGAGAAAGGATGGAGGAGTCCATAGCCAGTGTAAATGCTCACTGAATGTTTGCAGTAAGGTGGCACCCCTGCCCTCCCCTGTGGTTAGTTTTCTACAGTCCATCACCTTTTTAACATTTAAAATTTTTTAAAATTTATTTTTAATTTTTTAAATTTGTATCCAAGTTAGTTAGCATATAGAGCAGTAATGATTTCACCAGTGGAATCCAGTGGTTCATCCCCTAATAGTATAGCACCCAATGCTCTTCCCAACAAGTGTCCTCCTTAAAGCCCCTTGACCATTTAGCCCATCCCCCACCCACAACCCCTCCAGCAGCCCTCAGTTTGTTCTCTATATTTAAAAGTCTCTTATGTTTTGTCCCCCCGCCTCGTTTTTATTTTATTTTTGCTTCCCTTCCATTATGTTCTTCTGTTTCGTATCTTATATTCCTCATGTGAGTGAAGTCATATGATATTGGTCTTTCTCTGACTGATTAATTTCACTTAGCATAATACCCTCTAGTTCTATCCACATTGTTGCAAATGGTTAAGATTTCATTCTTTTTGATTGCCAAGTAATACACCATTGTATATGTGTGTGTGTGTGTATGTGTGTGTGTGTGTGTGTATACACCACATCTTTTTTAATCCATTCATCTATCAGTGGACATATGGGGTCTTTCCATAATTACAGTCCCTCACCTTGATGATAAAACACAAAATAAGGAAGGCAACTCAGTGATATGCATAATAGATTTACTCTTCCAGTCTTCCAGCAGGGATGTGGGGATGGGATAGGTGGAGATGATGTTACCAGCCTTTGGGAAATAGAGAGGAAATAGCTGAACTCTACTTCTTTTTTTTCTTTTTTCTTTTTACTTTTTTAAATGGTTATTTATTTTTGAGAGAGACAGAGTGTGAGTGGGGGAGGGACGGAAAGAGAGGGAGACACAGAATCCGAAGCAGGCTTCAGGCTCGTAGCTGTCAGCACAGAGCCCGATGCAGGGCTTGAACCCACGGACCATGAGATCATGACCTGAGCTGAAACTGGACGCTTAACCACCTGAGCCACCCAGGCACCCCAGCTGAACTCTACTTCTAAAAGCAATTGCTGGTACCAATCTGGGGCCCTTTTGAGCTCAAGTGGTAAAATTGTTTTGCTTCTTGGTTTTCTCCATCTTTGGCTTAGGAATCAGCATTTTTGGCTTTGTCAAATCAGTGACTGCTTTCCTTCTGCTTACCAGATTTTTGCTGGTCTCTTTTATATCATAGGTTCAATTTTTCAGCCTTTTATTCTAGTGGGATCACAATTGAAATACTTGGTGTGATCTACACTTTCCAACAAAAAGTATATTTTAATATTTTTCTTGCCAATAAATCTACTTCTACATCAACATTTAAATGACTCTCTTTTTCGAGATCTAACTTATCCCCTGTTGTAAATATGGGCTGTTATAAGCAATTTTGTAAAGACCCTCCTTCTAGCTAAAATTCATATCAGTCTTTAAATAAATTTAAAATGTGAGAAAATTCTGAATCCTATCTTAAAATGTTTCTTATTAAATGACATCTTACTTCCAGCAGTATGAAGATGTTTCCTTTTCTAATGTAAACCATTAAGTGTAAAGATTCCATTTAGCCACTTTTGCCACCAAATGGGAAATCCTGCCGATGTTTAGTTCACCCTGTATACTCAGGCTGTGCCTGGAACAGGAAAGGCACCTGATACATATTTGCTAACTAGACATACGCATAATGAATTCATTTTAATTATTTTGTTTTACAACTTCAAAGGGAAGAGGTCTGGTATGAAGGCAGCAGGGTGTAATAAGTTTTAAATATCTTATTTTCATCACTTTGAGTTACTTTGAGGTTGCTCAGCTCATAAAGTAGTAAGACTGAGAACCAGGTTTAAAAAGAAACAAGCCAGCATGGCAGGGTGATATATAGACTGACCTACATCCACTTCACCTGGATCGGAAGCAGTGCCAAGGCGTTTATGCAGGTGACCTTGTAACAAAGGGCTTTAAATATAAGATACTAACATTTTAGAATTTAAGGATAAGCCTCCTCCTGTATAGAGATAATATACATCTATTGCGGTAAATTATATGGTTGGATTAAATAAATATGATTTGCTTAATCTAGTCCCGGGTTTCTCAGAGTGGAGTCTGCATGTGGTCTGTGTCAGAATCACATGGGAGCTTGACTATTCACTTCCCGTGGCCCACCTGAGACCTGTGGAATGAGCATCACTGTGAGTGGCCCGGGATTTGGCATATAACAAACTCCGCACGTGCACATGGCCGTCTACAGGTCTTCTCTAGACTAAACTATAAGAAACCATTAGAGAAAGTTAGGTACACATTTTATGCAAATTTGAAAAATCTAATGAATTTAGAATTAATGGTTGGGGGATATTCTGGTAAGCTGACTTAACATATTTTATTGCTTTCCCCTTCAATTATCACTAAGAGTTCAACTAATTAGCTTCGCATATCGAAATGATTCCATCTTTTTTTAAACCTCTCATTCTCTGATGGAACCAGTGGCTAGAGGCATTAGTTTGTGGTTTAAGAAATTAACTCATGCGTATGTATGCACGTGTATTATTGCTATACATAATAGCAATAGTATGCTATTGAGTATATTGCATCTCTGGCCTAGAATTTCAGTGTTTTAACCAGGCGTCTTTAGATAATTTGTTTTAATTTGTTTTCTTTTAACTATAGGCAAGCTCAATTTGTTGTGAGAGAGATTTTAAATCAAACATTGCACAGGTGGACAGTTTATGCAGTGACATGGCACATATGAGAGCTCTTGCCACAACACCTGAAATATAATAGGCATCAGTGAATTCACGTCTCCTTCTGGAGTATCTGTCTATCCCACAGATACTGCATCATTACTTTTTCAAAAGTGGTGGTAAAGAGGGAAAATATGAAAGCCATCTTAGCCATAGGTCACCCTATATTAATGAAACGTCTTACTATTTAAAAAGTAAATAGATCCTTCCAATGATATTAACTAGCATTAATCAAACATTACTATGTAACATATACACCCTAAGCTGTTGACATAAGGTAGGTGCTTGTAATAACCTCCATTTTTATGATAAGTGTAGCACAATGAGAGTATGTATAAAGTTATCCAAGGTCAAGCAACTGGTAAATACTAAAGCCTAATTCTGAACTCAGAAAATCTGTCTGTAGAGATCACATCTACTATTGTGTCTTCCATCAAAGATGTACGACCATTGCTACTATACGTAAAAGTTGACGGGGAAGAGGTATTGTTTGATATATCTTAGAGATAACTAAGTTTTCAATCCTACCCAATTTTGAATATTAAATATCTCTAATAATTTCTTTAAAAAAGACATGATATACCTAAAGTAAAGAGATGGGTTGGAAGGCAGTTTTAGGGCCCAGACATTCTGGGTTTAAATGCTTTCTTCATGATTTATTAGATGTGTGCAGATCACTTAAAGCCTTAAATTTCTCATCTGCAAATGGAAATGATAATATTTTCCCATACCATTAGCATACAGAGAAGAGATAATCTATACCCCTATGTCACTGAGCTCTTTGCACTCAAGTACAACTATTCTAATTTAATGTATAGGATGCTATGTCGAAGGGGTTATGGGAATTTATGTGTTTTATATGAGATATATAATTATAATAATTATATGATTTCTAATGTCAAAATCATTAAAATATCTGTTTAATCTCATTGTTCATTCAATAGCAGACTTTGATTCGTCTGTCCCACAGATACTCAAACTCTTACTCTTTCTTCTTTTCAGCAAATTTACTTGATAACATGCTTTTGCGAAGTTCAGGAAAATTAAATGTGGGCACCAAGAAAGAGGATGGTGAGAGTACAGCCCCCACCCCTCGTCCAAAGATCTTGCGTTGCAAATGCCACCACCATTGTCCAGAAGACTCAGTCAACAATATTTGCAGGTTGGTCATATACATTATTTAAATGTAGTTTTAACAGAGAGTCATACTTTTTAAACTACAGAATTGTAGGCTGATGTTTTCCAAGAACACACGCTGAGGAGTAGTGCCTAACTCCGTTAACTTGCAGAGCAGTATCTGTGTTTAGAAAAAATACCCAATTGCATTTTGCCCAAAATGGTGTTCTGAGATCCTTCTTCCTTTCTGCAAGCATCACATATGCACATAAACATAGAGCATAGATCCCAGGCTTGGGGCAAGTGTCAAGCAGCAAAAACTAGTTGTTGACTTTTGAAAGACCTTGTCCCCCAGATAAATTCAACAGCAGAGGGTGTCAAATGTGTGATAATTTTTCTTTAACCATTCTTCATGTCAGTGGTGGTTCGTCTTATGGAAAGAACACCTGCATCCGTAGGAATATTCACCGACGATGGGTGATAGAGCTTATGTGAGTCCACCAGCTGTTAGGAAAGATGTTGTCTGACTACTAGAGACCTAAACTCCTTAGTGGAGAATCACATTTGTGACAAAACTTTATTTGAAACTGGACTCTTTAACTCTTTCTTTCTTACGCATCCTTATGCAGCCAGGCACCCATTTTGCCAGGCACCATAGCCTGCATTCACACACCCATATGAGGACAACAGTGGGTGGAGAGGCAGAGCCTCATGAGGCCACTGTGCCCAGGGAGATATGGCAGAGTAACCAGACAAGTACCCATCTCAAGAGTTGAAATGTCAGAGAAGCAGAATCTCCCTCGAGAAGGGTAATGGACCAAAGGGGAAATGGGCTGCTAGGTTTGAAGTCCAGGCAGAGTATCTGAATAATCATCTGGGGCCTCATTACCCAGGAAGGAACATTAAGATAAGCTGAATTCTTTTTTGAGTTCCTGAGGAAGAAAGTGTATCCTGAGATATGCAGCTCAAGAAATTTCTATTAACTGAATGACAGAGAGGAAACTTGGGTATGCTCATAAATATGTATCTCCTTTAATCAGCAGAACAACCCAGCATGGTAAGGGATGTTTATTTCTTAGATATATTATCTATATATATCCTTATATCATTAGATATAAGGAATTCAGGACCCAGAGAGGTCTGGTAACTTGGCTCTTATGCAGTAGAACAAACTTGGGATCACTGCATTTTGTGCCATGATAAAATGATTCCTGAGCTCAGACACAGTATTTCCTGGGAAACACTACCTCCTTTGTAGCAAGTGGAAAAATTATCAGGAAAATGCCAGAGTTTTCTGAAAAAAAGAAAATTATTAAGAGAAAACATATTAGAGGGATACTTTACTATTTTGCCTGGATCTGTAATTAAGAGTAAATCTGTGTGTGCCATTTGAGCTATACTTCTGGTGATTATATGGGCAGGCTTTCCACAGCCATCCCAACTTTAAATATTTTGTTCTATTTTCCTTAAAGGCCATTGAAGCATCCTAAATTGATTTGAAAGAAAGTGTTCAGACAGGATTAACAGAAGTAGAGATTTTCTGTTGTGGGAAGGAGAAACTTGGCATGTTCAAAGAAGACTGGTTTCCCTGAAGTGCAGGAGCAGAGGGAGGTGTGGCTGTAGTTGCGTGTGGAAGCAGGAGAGATTACCCACAGCCTGGTCGTCTCTATTAAGGATGTTCATCTTATTCCTAGAAGCATTGGGAAGCCATTGGGAGATTTGTTTAAGCAGTTGTAGCAGTGGGTATTGATGTGGATTTAGGAAGGACAGTTCATGTGAGAGAGAATAATCTTGGATTAGGTTGATGCTGGTGCAAGTATGAAGTAATGTGTTAGGGAAATATTCAGAAGGAAAGTTTTACGTTGGTAAATTGGATATAGGAGGGGTCCCAGAGGGGCTTCACCAGTTTCTGGATGTATATTTAGATGCACAGTGTAGGCTTTTAATGAAAGAGGACAGAGGGAAATCATCCAGTTTCAATCTGGGCATACTGAGTTTAAGGTTTTTGATACCTACAAAATGGAAATATCAAAGAGTAAGCCATGGGATATGGGTTTGGAGCTGAGATAGAGTCTGGGGAGAGAGTCTAGAATGAGTGAGTAGAACATGAGTCAGTTTTTGCTGTGAAACAAGTGAGCTCAGATTCATAGTAACTTACAACTAAAGACATTTATTTTTTCATTCCTGGCTCTACAAATGGGCTGCCACTGTGCTGGGTCCTGCTGGGTTAGGCGGACTCGGCATTGGGCCGCTGCTTCAGTTCAGGCCTGCTCCACTTGTTTGCTCATCCTTCCCAGACCAGAAGCTAACCAGAGAATATTCTTTCTTACTTGACTGTGAGGGAGTGACCTCTTAAAACTTCTGCTTGTCCTCTAACATTGCATTTACCAAATCAAATGATATAGTCAAGCTCAATGTCAGAGAGAAGTCATGGCTGGGGCAGGGCTTGAAGAATTGAGTACAGTAGTAAAACAATCTAATCGACCAGAGTAGGACTGAGCCTTGAGACATTTAATGGTTGTGTCAGGGAGGCTCTCCCCACAAGATTCAGAATGAACATAAAATAGTGAGTATGGTATCGTTAAAGCCAAGTTTAACGGGAAGTAAGATCAGCTGTGTTAGAAGCTGTTAGGGGTCAAGAGGATAAGAACCAAAACATGGCAGATTTATTGACCTTGATAGCTGCAGTTTAGAAATACTCCTCCCAAAGTGCTGAATCTTGACCAACAGCCAACCCCTGAACTGGATCGCAAAGGAGCGAGTGTTCACTCTTGGGCAAAATGCACATCTTTTTTGCTAACGGGATGTTAACTCCAGTTGAGTCTCCTGTGAACTGAGTTCAATCACGTGAATCACAGGGCCTACTTTTATTCCTGAGCCCTAGGACCTAGAATAAATTTGGGCCTCCTTTCCCATAAGTCCACAATCTATTCTGACTTCCAAATCAGTACTTCTCAAGTAGTCTCTGGTGAACGATGCTCCCCACCAAACCCTGTAAGTTGTACTGATACATTTCTAGAATACAATAAATTGTAATAAATTCATTCTGGTAAATGAATTACTAGAAAAACGAATACAAAAATTATTTGCACATCGCATGCTCAATTTTTTTCCATTTTTCTGTTATTTAGATTCAAGAGAGCTAGATGTATTACTCTGCAAGTTTCTGTTTCCATAATACCCTCCTCACAGACCACTGGCAAGACATTTGCTGACCTGGAAGGGAACATACTTGGGGTAATATTCATTAAATCTTGCACTCCTGGATGAAGGAATTCTAGACCCTAGGGTATGCTTTCTTGAGCTTAGATGAGGGCTTGTCCAAACCCTGTGGCCTGAGGTCTTGTAGGGCGTTCTTAGCCAATTTGGGCATCCTAGGGAGGTCTTCTGCTCATTACCACTCCCATACTCCTGGGCAGAATAATCTAGGAAGTGGCCCGAATCAGGAATGTATCATACTTAAAAGAGATTTTGAAAGCCCACATGATAATTCAGGCTATATGTCTAAAGTTTAGAGGGTTTTTAAACTCTTCATGAGCAGCACCAATCACATCACCAGCCAACACTAAGGCCAGAGTCATTCTTGGCCTTGATTCCCACCATTTGCGGGTGTGTCTGCTTCTAAAATCCATGCCAATTCCATTGCTTCATAGCGTACATGTTAGAAGATGCTGTGCAAATGAGCTGAATAAAGTATTAGAATCTTTCTTTTATATCCATAATTCAGGAGGTGAAGCTGTTATTTTTCTCCCTCAAGATAATACCTAACTTCTAAATATCTTTCCAGCTGTTACTGTACCTTATTAATCCTTCCTGTTCATTTTCCAGATTTATTGTCAGGGTCTTAGACAATCACTGTATGCCTTGAAAGCTTTGAAGTCTCCTGGAATAACTCTTTTTACATGACTTTCACCGTGCAAAGGTTTTGTCTTATTTTCCAGCCTTGTTTGTCTGTTTTTTCTTCTATATAACATTGTCCTGCTTTACGGGTCCTTTCTTGGTTTACTTGTCTTGGCCTCTGATACTCATTTTTGTTACTACTTATCACCTCTCTCCCATTCATCCCGGTGCTCACACAAGTGTATCTGTTTGCAGAAATTATTGTTTTACTCTTTTTCAGAGATGATTTTAAATACTTCACCATATTTTAATACTTACTGGGTTTGACGAAGAATTCTGCCTGGACAGTTTTCAGGGTTTACAGGCGTAGGAAACAATCGGATGTCTGCACAAAAGATATGCAGAGGATACCAGGCTGCCTAAATGAGAAATTAGAGAAGTCCCCCAGCTGTGCCTTGAGGAGTCACAAGGGGAAGAAGGAAGAGCTTAGGGGCTTGTGAGCCTTTTTATAAAGTTTGCATCGACCCAGGAATTTTAAACCTCCTGCTTGAATGTGATGGTGTGAATTTTCTGACAGGGGCTCCTGACCCGAGATCTCAGTATTTAAAGTGCACATTATTCTTATTTGTTTATACATCTTCCATTGCATCGAGTTTATTCCACCATTGCTCAGACCATCTGAATACTGAGTTTTATGATGTTTAGAAATTTTTTCAGTAGAAGATGTGAGTTAAAACCATCGCACTTACAAGAATAAGTTCTTCCTTAGAATTTATAATTTAGTTGGAAGAGGCTGTGATTTCACATTCACTTATCAAGCTTTTTATAAGGAATAAGTCTGCCTTTGTGCCTCCTAGTCATAAAATGAGACTGTTAAATGGGCCCATTTGTTGTTGGAGTTCATGGAAAATGAATAGTGTAGAGCCCTTTAAACTTCTACATAGAACCGTTAATGATTTTTAAGCAGAGAAGGAAAATGTAAGATTTATCAGGACGTGCTGTACAGAATCATTTAGAGTCCAGAGGGAGGAGGCAGGCAGGCCTGCTGGGAGGCTTTCCGAGAAATCTAAGTGAGAGACAAAGAACCTTTGCACAAGGTGAGAATATTTAAATGCTCGATTCATATAAAAATTGAGACAAATTCAAAAGATCATGTACCTCATAGAAGAAAATGAACAAAATGCCAAATCACTTGGTACGGCTGCTAGAGAAGGATGTAAGATAGTTACACATCCTTTTGTTATTAAAATTTTTTTAAGTTTATTTATTTTGAGAGGGAGGGAGACAGAGTGCATGCGGGAGCGAGCAAGGGAGGAGCAGAGACAAGAGGAGAGAGAGAATCCCAAGCAGGCTCTGCACAGTCCGCACAGAGCTCAGTGTGGGGCTTGAACTCAAGAACTGTGAGATCATGACCTGTGCTGAAACTGAATTGGATGCTTAACGGACTGAGCCACCCAGGCACCCCAATGGTTACACATTTGTGAAAATAAAGTAAAGGTCATCTCTCACGTTGGAACTTTATCATTAGTGTAACTTTACCTTCCTCCAGTTCAGTGACATCTCAGAGGAAAAACCATAGCCTGGGACCAGTAGTAGCCATATGTATTTTACCCTCTTTCCCTCACTACTATGGGAATCCATCCATCTGAGGTGATAAGGAAAAAAAACATATAAACTTGAGGATTCTATTACTTTGATAATTACCACTGTTCAACATTCTTCTTTGCTGTTTTCCCAGGTCAGTAGAAAACGCTTGACCAACTTTTATTTCTATCTTTATTGCTAGAATTTGAATGACTTAGTTTCTTCTAGGATTGTGGCATTCATAGACTATAAGCTCTTACAAAGCAAAGGCTTTATCTTCCTCACCCTGTATTCTGGGCAGCTAACTCTGCCTGAATCATTGTATGCTCAATAAATGTTTGTCAAGTGAACTACTGTTAACAAAGCTGTAAGCAGTTTTTAGCTGTTTTAGTTAACCAAATTTACATGACTTAAATAGCCAGTCTAAAATTTGTATATATCTTTGAGTTTATCTGTGACAGAAAACTTTGAAAACTTTTATTCTCCTGAGTGTGAAATAGGTACTTTAAAAAAATTTAATGTTTTTTATTTATTTCTGAGAGAGAGAGACACCAAGTGAGCAGGGGAGGGTCAGAGAGAGAGGGAGATAGAATCTGAAGCAAGCTCCAGGCTCTGAGCTAGCTGTCAGCCCAGAGCCTGATGTGGGGCTTGAACCCACGAACCATGAGATCATGACCTGAGCCAAAGTTGGACGCTTAACTGACTGAGCCACGCAGGTGCCCTGAAATAGGTATTTTAGAAGATAGAATATTCTCAAGGACTGATTTAAAATGGACTTAAAACCAAACAGTCTTTCTAATCAGTTCTGACTGAAACTTAAAAGAACTTTAGGAATTCTAGTATTTCTCCCATACTGAAATAAAATTGGCATAAATATTGGGGCACCTGATGGCTCAGTCAGTTGAGCATTCCAACTCTTGATTTCAGCTCAGGTCATGATCCCAAGGTCATGGAATTGAGTCCCACATTGAGCTCCATGCTGAGTGAGGAACCTGTTTAAGATTCTCTCTCTCTTTCTCTCTCTCTCTCTCTCTCAGACTCTCTCTCTCTCTCTCACTCACTCTCTCACTCTCACTCTCTCTCTCTCTCCCTGCCCTTCTCACCACTCATAATCTATTTCACTCTCCCTCTGCCTCTCTCTCCCACTGGTGCTCTGTCTCCCTCCATTAAATTTATTTATTTTTATATTTTTATAGTTTATTGTCAAGTTGATTTACATATAACACCCAGTGCTCATCCCAACAAATGCCCTCCTCCATGCCCATCACCCCCCCTTCCCCTCTCCCCCACCCCACCCCCAGCCCTCAGTTTGTTTTAAAAAATGGCATAAATATGGAGAAGCAGTCAGTGTTGACAACTGATGTCAACAGTACACAGCTGTTCTATTTTGTTCATTACTTGTCTTTACCTATAACACAGGGGCAGCATTTCTGAAATGTTACATCAGTGGTCTTTTAAAAATTTTTTTTAAATTTTTATTTATTTTTGAGAGAAAGTGCAAGCAAGGGAAGGGGAGAGACAAAGGGAGACACAGAATCTGAAGCAGGCTCCAGGCTCTGAACTGTCAGCACAGAACCTGATGCAGGGCTCAAACCCATGGACCATAAGATCATGACCTTAGCCGAAGTCAGAAGCTCAACTGACTGAGCCACCCAGGCTTTCCCAGTGGTCTTTTTTTTTTTTTTTTTCAATTCTTAGTCATTACTGTAACCAAATGATCCATCTTATATCCCTGTATACATCTCAGTACTTTCAGTTTTGTTTAAAAATATTCCTATTTTGTTTTCTTCATGAGTCTTCATTTCTTCTTCTTATCACTTTAAACACCATGGGAATGATGAGGTAATAATAGTCAATATACAACATTTAAAAACTAAGCCTAAACATGGCAGCCAGTCAGCAAAATATTCAAATAAGCCCGTGGGAGGACTTAATTGCCTTTTGTGACATTCCGCAGCCCTCTCTCAGTGGAGGGAGTTGAACAGCTCTGACTCCGGAGCATAGCTTTGTTTACGTTTGTGTTTGCTTGAGAATTGTAAAGCCTCAAGTGATTCTAAAGTTTTTATAGTTGTACATTTCATTTCCAGTTAGTGTTCCTAACTAGCTGGTAATGTCAACGAGAAGCTTATAAATTATTTTTGCTTTGTTGCAGATAATATGCACTTGAAATGGTTCTCTAACCTTTTTGCTTGTCCTCCAACTAAATATTTGATTTCTGTCCAAATTTATGACTTAGGGGACACTGACTTTTCTCCAGGGTTTCTTTCATTCTCCACACCCTCTTTATATTTTTAGTTCCATTCTCTTGCAGACCAGGGAGTGTATTTTTAAAGCTTGAATTTACTCTCCCTGATGTTTCTTTATATTTCCCAGGACATTGTAAGAGTAACTTGCCAACAGCTTAACTAGCATTTTTTTTTTCTCTTTTTTGATCCTGATGAGTGCCTTTCCATATATTCAGATTTCGAGTAAGGGGACCTCATAAATAAGGAGAAATTATTTTTTTTTTTTAGATTTAACATACTGTATCACTCTTTTCCAGCCCTGTGAATTCCTAATGTCAGAAAATTAAAATGACTTTATTTCTGATAATTCCCGAATCTTACTTATGATGAGAAAACTAAGTCACACATATGGTCTAAATGGGAAGGAAAGGAATAAAACAATCATATATTGTCTGCTCATATTGTTTAAATTTCTAAGGGGCAACTCTTTTATTTATTGCCTTCAGTGATTACATGCTTTAGATTTTCATAGCAATTTCAGTAAATTGGCTAAAAGCCCCAAAGAATTCAGAGCAAGGTCTGTTCAGAGGCAGCCTATATTCCACAGCAGTATTCATGCATTTGACCTTAGTCTAACAGAGATTTACCATTGGCCCCTCCTAGTCATTCAATTAGTATATTTGAGCTTCGCTGTTCTAGTTCTTATGAACTGACATATTTTGGATCACTTGAGGGTTATAAACCAAGTAAACAATTCTAAGGGTGTTGATGATTACTGACGGGCTAATAGATGGCAGAATGCTGCTACCACTAATATAGAATAGACAAATCCACAAATCATGGCTAATGCCATTCTCAGAGCGTTCTTCCCTTGACCTTCTGGGACTACATCTCTGTATCTGTCTTGGGTGCTGAGCAAGCATAAGTATGAGAAAAAGATGGAGATACAGTTTAATGCTTCATTTCTCAGCACACGCAGTAGTGGTAGTTGACATATATTAGGACTCACCCTAACTTGTGAAGACAGTAAAGTCTGTTTGTAAATAGTTCTGTATATGACAGTTCTTGTTTTCTAGACTTGGTCCCAGGACAGGATAGTGGAAAATGTGTGGGTATGAAGAGCCAGAGGTCCTTGATGAAAGGCCTGATTCTGTTCCTGTTCATTCTGCAACCCTGTACAAGTTTATTAGACTTTCAACCTTTAATTTCCTCATCCGTAAAATAGAAATAGTATTACTTTGCATTGTTGTTGAGAGGATTACATGAGATAGAATAAGTGAATATTCTCTTTAATCTAGAAAACCATGCAGGATTGTAAAATTTTGTTTCCTTTGCTTTCCGTGGTCTTGTTAACACCCCTTCTTTCTGGTGTCCATCCTCACCTACCCCCGGTGTAAGTCCCACCTGCTTACAACAAAGCCTGATGTTCCATATGACAGATCAGCTCCAATGCAGAGGGACCAAGTGGCAGGATCTTAAGCACCTTGGTTATGTTGTGCTGATCCCAGCTTCTACCTGTCTTTCTCTTGGTGCCTTAATAAGGGATGAGTTTGTTTCATTTGGAGCAAATAGAAGCAACATAAATGTTCACCTGCATGGGGTCAAACCACTGCTATGTCTCTCACTGTCTGTAAGGCCTTTGAGAAATTTCTCAAGCTCTCTGAGCCTTAGTTTCCTCATATAGACGGTGAAATAAATAGTACCTTCCTCACAGAGTTGTTTTTCTGGATCGGTGGAGGTGATGCGGTCTGAGGACGAAAATGAGTGTTTAGTAATCGGTATATATAGTTATTAATGGTGTAAGTTATACGGAAAGGTTATTTCCTTCTTTCTCACAAGTTTCTAGACAGAAGATATTCCCAGATGTTTTATGATTATTAAATCCAGTTTCATAAAAGGAAGTTTTGGAACTCTCTTAACAGGCTGTAACTTGAAATGATGATCGACTTTATCCTTGTGTGTAGTAAAACAAATGATTAACATGTCCCTTTCTTTTCCCCTAGACACATACACACACACATGCACACGCACACTCTTACTTTGCCCGTTTGGTCTTTAGCACAGATGGATATTGCTTCACAATGATAGAAGAAGATGACTCTGGGATGCCTGTGGTCACTTCCGGATGCCTAGGACTAGAAGGCTCAGATTTTCAGTGCCGGGTAAGAAAGATCACGTGCTTCCACCTTGCAACTTTCACCGCTGGCTTTCAACAGTCAGGTTTCAAGCTATATAAAAGAATTGGTTTTCTTGACCAACCTTGTTTTAGTAAGGTGGAAAATAATCTGAAAATTGTCTCCTTGGGCCAATTCTCCATCCATTTCAGAAGCATTATTTTTATTTTTGCTGTTAACTTTTTGCTTGTTGACTCTTCAGATCATCTTGCACAGATTCTAGCATAGTTAATTGTATTAATCCAAGCCTTCTTCTTCAGTTTATAACTATGCACACTGGTTATTACAAATGTGGTTGTAGTTTTGTTGAAATGCAAAAGCTGCAGTAAGATAATGCATGGAAATTTGCGAGAAATTTTCTAATAGAAAATAACATTTTCAGGATGTTTCAAGAAAATTATCACAATTTTAGGTGAATTCTCTGAATAGTGATAGTATCTCAAGTTTTAGATTATGTGTCTTTGAGCGGGTACCTGGGCCTAGTCAGTTAAGTGTCTGACTCTTGATTTTGGCTCACGTCATGATCTCACAGTTCGTGGGTTCGAGCCCTGCATCTGGCTCTGTGCAGACTGTGAAGCCTGCTTGGGATTCTCTGTGTTCCTCTCTCTCTGCCCCTCCCCTGCTTGTGCTCTCTCGTTCTCTCTCTCTCTCTCAAAATAAATAAACTAAAAAAATTTAGGCTATGTGACTTTGAAATTTAAGGGAACCCGCTAATAGCTGTTTGGGTTCAACTTAGGACACCCCCATTCCTCATCAGAGAAGATCCATTGAGTGCTGCACAGAGCGGAATGAGTGTAATAAAGACCTGCACCCTACGCTGCCTCCACTGAAAAGTAGAGGTAAGTAGAAGAAAGCTTTGGGGCTGGAAGAGCTTTCGGCACAAAATAAAGACAAGAATTACTCTGCCTTTCCTAAATTAAGGTACCTGTATCATTTTTCATTTTCCACTGCTGGGGCAAGAGACCAAGGCGAGATGACATAATTCGAAGACATGAGCAAGTAGTCCTTGGAAGAGTAGTCATATGGGACCTCATGCTTGAGAATCTCATTTCTGCAAGTTGCCCCCACTTCCCTGTGAAATCCGGGGGTCCTAGAGCTTTTAGTGTGTTTTAGAAGCATAGAGGAGGGAGACATGGTTTTATGATTACCCTGAACTGTTATCAGAAGTTATACTTTTCTCAAAAACTGCCACTAGCCTAATGCATGTTAAAAAAAAAAAAATAAAGAACTGCATTGGATTATTTACTGGATAATTTCCTTATATCTGTGCTGGAGAAACTACTTTTAGCCAAATCATATTATCAAAATATTGATAGAAAAAGGGTTCCTGGGTGGCTCAGTCAGTTAAGCATCTGACTTCAGCTCAGGTCATGATCTTGCAGTTTGTGAGTTTGAGCCCCACGTCGAGCTCTGTGCTGACAGCTCAGAGCCTGGAGACTTCTTCGGATTCTGTTTCTCCCCCTCTCTCTGTCCCTCCCATGCTCATGCTCTCTCTCCCTCTGTATCTCAATAATAAATAAAAATGTTTTTAAAAGTTCAAAATATTGATTGAATGGAGGAGATATCTAGAAAATTTAATTTCAAAACATATATTTAAGCGTTGGTCTTAGAAAAAGACAAATACTACACCCTGAAAGACTTTTTGTTAAAAACTGTTTCCACATTTCCTTTCTCCTCCTTACTCTCACTGCAAAATAAGTGCTTGGAATTATCACAGCGTCCTAAAGCCTAAGTCTTATATAAGTGGTTTAAAATGATTTCTCATGTTTGATTTTATTTCTTCAGAAAATCTTCCTAACAAAACATACTGACATCTCATGGCTTTGATGATAACATTTTATAACACTTGTTTCTGCTAAAGTGTAGAACACTTTAAAGGCTTGATTCATAATCATTCACATAAAACATCCAGACAGCTTTTTTATATATATTGCAAGCCAACATACTCGGTGTTAGGGATACAGAAATGGGATGAAGAAAATTCTTGCTTTCAAGATATGCACACTGGCATGTGAGAGAGAAGAAATAGTAAATAATTAAATTGTATTCAGCCAGGAATATCTTCGTGGAGTCAGATTATAAAGTGTGTTAAGGACACAAACAAGTGTCTGGTGTGGGAGGATGTCAAGGATGAAGAAAATTCTTGCTTTCAAGATATGCACACTGGCATGTGAGAGAGAAGAAATAGTAAATAATTAAATTGTATTCAGCCAGGAATATCTTCGTGGAGTCAGATTATAAAGTGTGTTAAGGACACAAACAAGTGTCTGGTGTGGGAGGATGTCAAAAGACCTTCCTAGAAGTGACACTTGAACAAGACTGTAAGGATGAACAGGTGGTTAAGACAGGAATACAAAATTATAATGGCTAACATACGCCAAGCATTATGTTCAGTAGCCCATTTGAGCCCCACAACAATCCTCTGAGGCACTTAGACTTATTCCTTATGTAAAGATGAGGACATTGCAGCACAGCGGGGTCACCTAACTTTCCCAAGATTGCACAGCCTGTTAGGAGAAATGACTCTAAACAGAGGCAGTAGTGAACACAGAGCTTTGGTTTGTAATGCCTGAGAAGCATTTACAAAATGCAGGCATAGCAAACAACATGGCTGGTTGGAGAAAATCTCCTAATTAAGTTGTCTAAAATCTCATTATTGAAAGTAGGTCTGTAGATCAGCTCATCAGTGTCACCAGAACTCATTAGGAGTGTGGAATCTCCGACCCCACCCCAGACTACAAAATGTACCTTTTACCAATATTCCTCAAGTGATTTGTATGCACATTAAAGTTTGGGTAATACTTTTGGTAGAAAAAGACAGCACCGCTTGCGTCTCTGCATGCGTTTGACAACACCTTCAAAGAGAAGTCGGCTGATGTCAAATTGCTGTCAAGTTCTAAATGTTTGCTTTCTGGTTTTGTAGCTGTTTCCTTGTGAACCAGTTGCAGAAAGTTGGCAGTCTATAGACACAATTTTGAGTAGCACTGGTATAGAGGCCTATGTATTGAGGATGGGGGAGGGAGGAGGGTGAGAAATGGCTAGAAATGAAGGCAGAAGGGCTAGAGAAAATGCTTTTCCCACACAAGTGGAAGCAATGTGTCCTAGAAGTTGCAACAAGGTTTAGGAAAATTCCATCCCTTCCTATTGCTGAAAGGGCTGCAGTACATGCATCATCCTGTAGATGGAGCCAGATTCTAGTTAGCATTAGGCAGATGAGGGAATATTCTCTTAGGAGGTTGAGAATGTAGAGACTTTTAAAAATAGTGGAATAAATCTCTAGAGAACAGAGTGGAAAGGCTTTGAGTAGAAAGGCAGCAGCATTGAGAAGACTAATCCTTGTTTTAAAACATTTTGAGAAAGAGAATGCAGGAATAGTTGGTGCATAATACTGAAAATTACGTAAGGTCATAGGCAGGAGTGGAGTTTAGTGCCATTAAGGTTCATTGCTTTGAACTTTGAGGATCCCAGGTAGTGCCTAGGTGAGTTCTGAACAGACTCCATCTTACCTTATGGTGCAGTCATTTTTGGGTCCAGTAAAAGTCACTGTAGGCAGTGGTCTGAGAGCACCAGCATTCGTAACATTGCCATACTATGCTGCCTTTTTTTTTTTTTTTTTTTTTAAACCTCCACCATACACTGGCCATGGCCAGTAGTTTAAAAGAATGAGATGGGGCAGGTTCTGGGTGGACACATCCCCTGGGTCCTGTGGACTCATGACTTAATGAGAAGAGACATGGTTAGAGGGAGCCAGAGCGGGACCCTCGAAAGCTCAGAGCCCAGGCTGATTTTCTGGCCTTAGACCCATGGAAAGCATCCTCATAATTGTGATATTTGCTAATGAGAATGGGGCACTTACTGTGGCTCTTTTCTAAGTATTTTACATATAAATAACGACTGAATCCATATATAGTAGATTTTTATAAATCTGTATGTCAAATGCTAGAAAGCAGAAACTATGTTATCAAAAGGCTAGAGGCTAAAATATCCAGCTGACCATTTTTTGTTATTGTTGTTCTTTTTTCTTATACAACTGCTCTTCCAAAAAAAGTTAAGTGATTAACCTTATCGCAAAACATCTGTCTTACTAGGTGCTACACAAGAAGCAGCTTAGGCAAGCCTTTGTTATGAGAGATTAGAGAAGTACTAAGTGTAGGGGTAAAAGCCTACAAGTAAATTGTTCTTATTAAAAACAAGCAAGAGTATCTTTTCTACCAATCCAGAGTTTTCTCAGTCTCTTTTTTTTTTTTAAACTTAGGCACATTTAGCAGGAAGTTAGAGATATGCCATCACATGCAATAATATTTATCAATGTTTATTTATCTCCTCAAAATTTTATTTGTCATCTTCTGTTTCAAAAAAGGAAGATGAAGGACAACCAGAATACAGCTAAATTCTTTTATGACTACTGGGTTTCCTTTTGCTTTGTTTATTCCCTTTCAGCACCAGAAAAGCAGAACACCCTAGGATAGCATTCTTTCTCTTGAAGGAGGAAATACGGGAAGTAATTAGATCAAATGCAGCACCTTTATCATAAACAATAAAATATGATCTGGGAAGCCCAGGAGCACTGCAGCTGGTGCTAAGGGGAGGAAGAGATGTCTGTTTTGATGGAGAGGCTTAGAGGGAGAAGTCGTGGTGCCCTGGTGTCTGGCTCCCTGTCTGCAGAATTGGCGATCAGGGAACCAGGATGCTGAGGGGAATGATGTATGTCCAGACGCACAGCATCAGATGGTTTGACCGAGATGTTGTCAGTAAAATGCTCTTTTGGAATTGTGTGAAGGCAGGAGAAATTGATGAGTTTTTTTGCCCTTACTCCACATTACTTATTATAGTTACTTATGTTTTAATTTTTTTTTAAATGAACACTTAAAGAAGTGAATGGTGTTGAAATGAGCAGAAGCTGTTGCTTTATTAAATGAGAGACTTTAATTTGGCTTTTATGAAATCAAGGTTTAATTTTTGATATAGATATGTTTATGTGTTTAAATATAGTAATTCCTCATATACATTATATGTATATTTCATAGAAAATACATCAGAAGTAACATTCTGTTTTGACATATGGTAATCTCAATGTAGTTTAAGTCAAAATATAGTGCACAATTTTCAAAGTTAAAATTTATCTTATTTCTTAGTTAAAAAATATATTCTGAGAAATTTACAGATTTGTTTTAAAATATTATTGCTGGGTTGCCTGGGTGGCTCAGTTGATTAAACGTTGACTTTGACTCAGGTCATGATCTCATAGCTCCTGCGTCCCGCATTGGCTCGGTGCTGACAGCTCAGAGCCTGGAGCCTGCTTCAGATTCTGTGTCTTCTCTGTCTGTGCCCTCTGCTCCTCAAGCTCTGTCTCTCTCTCTCAAAAGTAAATAAACATTAAAAAAAGCAAATTGCATAGATAGGTTGGATATTGCCAATTACAAATCAAAGTCTGTAGGTAACATGTACTTAACCTATGAAACATCTCCTTTGTTCTTCAGACCACAGATAGATTGAATATATAATAGTGTCAAGAATGCAAAGATGAGTTCCAGAATTTTCCTTCTGATACATATATTATGCCCATGGCACTCTGAACCAGTGCATGAGTCTGAGCTAAATTTCTTGCCAGGGATTAGCTCTAACATCTCTTGAAATGTTCAGCTCCTAATTGTTTCTAGGTAGCTTTGTATTCGGGACAGGTGAAAGGAATTTAGAAATAATTAGTCCTTTTTTTTTTTTCTCACTGAACACAGTAATCTGGATGTAGAAATTCTGTCTTCTGAATCATAAATACAGAGAACAAATTGGTGGTTGCCAGATGGGGAGGGAATTGGGAGGGTGGGCAGAATAGCTGAAGAGGATTAAGAGGCACAAACTTCCAGTTATAAAATAAATAAGTCATGGGCATGAAAAGTACAACCTAGGAAATTCAGTCAATACTGTAATGATGTTGTACGGTGTGCATGGTAATACACCTGTCATCCTTCTAAGCATAGCTTCATGGCTGGAACTGCTGCATCACTATGTTGTACGCCTAAAACTTACTGGAACTTTGCATGTCAACTGTACTTAAATTTAAAAAATAAGAAATAATAAAATTACCATTAACAAAAGCTGTATTAACCTACTGTCTTACCAAGAAATACAATCCTAAATATTTTTAGTCAGGAAAATAACTAGCAAGTTATATCTTTGTTGTTATAGTCCATTTATTTCTAGATGTTAACTCTAAGAGAGAATCCCAATGTAAGATGTCAGTAAGATATTTTTGCAGCATCCCTTGTTGACCAAAATCCTCTGACAAAAATATGCTTTTCAGGCACTTTGTGCTCTATTAATAGAAAGATGTCTCTAATTTATCCATGATTATAATTTTGAGAGCACAGGCAGAGATGTCTTTGGGCAGTCTTATTTCCAAAATCCTTCCTGGCGACATGTTTTTTTCTTCTATTTCTTATTGCAGTTAGGAACCATCCTTTGGGTTTACATTTAAAAAAAAAAAAGTCCTGCTGTTTTAAACAGTTACAAACTACTTACTTATCAGAGAAGAGACAGGCAGTGACAGAATGCTATTTTATTAAGAAGCCACTGGTGATCCTCACTTGCTTCTAAGAGTGAACCAGACTTCCCTGGAGGCTTCTCCAGTCTACTTCCTTGAGCAGTTGGAGTGACAGCGCAAGGAAAAATCTGCCGCCCTAGCGAGAACTGTATGCTCTGTCCCTTCCCGATAGGAATCTGGAAGTGTTCACTTTCCAAGACCCTGGCAGTGACTTGAATGTTTACATTGTTAACGCTCTGAGCACAGGTAATGGCAAATTAAAACATGACCAGCATGACCAACAGAAACAAAAGGCTTATTGATAAGGATCACCTATTCATGACAGAAGACAAGGAGGCAGTAGATGAGGCTGCAGGGCAGAAGGTTATTGGGGCAAAGAAAAGGAAAATAGGAGGTAATGCTAACCTTAGAAAAAAAGTGCTTGATGGTTAAGAAAGGATCCCTTAGATCCTTTTTAGTCTCATTGCTTTCATAAATCAGAAGTCTAATAAGATGGGTAATAAATACAGTGTTCCTACAGTTCAGAGTGTACTCTGCATTTACATGGAAAGCAAAAGGCAGTGATGCTGAGAGGTTTCGTACAATTAATCATTTGAATGAAAAAGCATTCTGTGTGCATATGGTGATAATACATTGTGCTTAAGTGGTTGTTTCTCCTGGTTTTAATTGAGTATGCAGCATTCTCTTGGTTTTCTGCAAACTCAGGCTTTTTGCTTTTGTTATCCTTAAAATTGGAAACACATTTTAAATGAAGTTTCCAGGAACAGCATTCACATGTATATGTACCATGGCATTTGTACACCGGCATATGTATAAACACAGTGCATTGTGCTCTCGCTGGCGTAACGGTGTGCTCACCTTGGGTTTATTGTTAACTTTGCCCACAAAAGGGAAATTTTGCTAAACAATTCATTGTGTAAGAATCCTGGCCTCTTTAATTTTAAGAGTCTTCTCAAATTTCCTAAGTTATTTTCAAGATTTCCTAAGCAACACTTACCAGAAAGTGAATGTGCCAGTTCATACAATTTCTGTTGGTGTTAAAGCCTGGATGGCTTTTTGGACCGGCCCTGTGATGGGTCAGGCTCCTCAGTTCCTTTTTCTCTGGACCGTTCACAGTGTCTCTGAAGTTGTACATAAAAAACTGCATTTCTTTAATGGTCTCTTATTTAGTCTTTTCAGATAGAGACTGCTTCCATTAATATTTTGTAAGTAGTGTAGATCATGAATAATTGTTCAACATATATTTTAGGCTGATGAGTAAATCATCACTTTAATCATCACAGGATTTGGACAAGAAATTGGTATGAAGACCTGTGGATTATAGTTTATAACAAAAATCCAAATATTTCAAAGTAAGACATTTTCAATTTCTGTGTTCCTATGAATTTCCTCAGTTTGATAATTTTATTACCATTTTGTGAGACCATATCCTTGTCTTTAGGAAGTGCATTTTGAAGTGCACTTATAGGTTAGGGCATTATGTCTGTAACTTCGAATGATCTCCACATTATACACATGCACAAATAAATAAACATACATATGAATACAAATATACATGCATATTTATATATACATATTGTGTATATATCTGCATATGTACATGTATTAATATGGACACACAGACACTCGTCCTCAGAGAGCAGGACAATTATAAGGCAAATATGGTAAAATTTTAAAAATGGGAACTCTCTGTGAAGGACATATTTGAGTTCTTTGTCCTTATAGGTTTTCTAGAAGACTGAAATTATTTCAAAATAATTAAAACATATGGTCACGCCAATGGCGAAATGTAAACTGTTGTAATCTTTTTTAAAGGACATTTTGACAATATGTTTGAAAAGCCTTGAAGTATATATTGTTTGAATTAATAGCTCTACTTCTGGGAATCTAGATTAAAGAAATCACCATTGACATGTGTCATGATGTACATTAACAGTGTTCACAGGGTTTTATGTATTTCAGCAAAGGTGTATTTGAACAAAATCTTTATGAGACGTCTTCTAAATATACAGCATCAGAAGATTGACTTTAAAAATTTTTTTTTCTTTTAAGATTTTTTTAAAGTTTATTTTTGAGACAGAGACAGAGGGAGAGCTAGCACAAATGAAGGAGGGGCAGAGAGAGAGACACACACACAGGATCCAAAGCAGGCTCCAGGCTCTGAGCTGTCAGCACAGAGCCTGACATTGGACTCAAACCCATGACCTGTGAGATCATGACCTGAGCTGAAGTCGGACGCTTAACTGACTGAGCCACCCAGGTGCCCCAGAAGATTGACTTTCTAATTAGGATGTGTCTGTATATACACTATGCAGCCTTTAAAACTCAAGTGTTAAAAATATTGTTTTGGAAAATATTCACACTATTATTCATGAAAACAATCTAGTTCTGAAGCAATGGTGTGTTTTGTTTCTTTCCAATTTTTTATTGTGGTAAAATACACCATAAAATTTACCATTGTAACTGCTTTTCAGTATACAGTCCAGTGGTATTAAATATGTTTGTAACGTTGTACAACCATCAACCTCATCCATCTCCATAGCTCTGTTCATCTTGTAAAACTAAAACTCTATAACCATTAAACATCAACTTCCCTCACCTCCTGGCAACCGCCATTCTACTCTTTCTTTTTATGAAGTTTGACTCCTTTAAGTATCTCATAGAAGTGGAATCATACACAATGTTTGTCTATAAGTTACTGGCTTATTTCACTTGGTGTCATGTCCTTAAGAGTCAGCAAGTTGTAGCATGTGTCAGAATTTCCTTCCTTCTTAAGGTTGAATAATATTTCAGGTGTATAAGCATATACCACATTTTGCTCTTCCATTCATCTGTCAGTGGATAGTTGAGTTTCATCTACATTTTCGCTATTGTGAATAACGCTGCTATCGACAAGGGTGTATATAAAGCCTTCTTGTGAAATATTTTACTCATAAACTTTTTTTTTCTGTTCATTGAAATGATACTGTAAAGGCATATGTTAAAATGCTAGTAGTAATTTTCCTAAGTAGTGAGATGGTGGCAATTTTATTTATTTCATTAGTTGATGCATTAGTTTTTATTCATGGAATATATAATAATTTTGAGTGAAAAAAATGTTACGTTGGGTGGGATGGGGTCCCCAGTCAAAATGTTCAGGTAGCCATACAGTTAAAACTATATAGCGCAGTTGGAAAACCTCTTGTTCATAGTAACCAAAGTCATAAATTACAATAATACCTTTAAAAATTAAGTAACAGTAATCACTTTCTCAAGGGAGTATGGTGCCCATAATAAGAACACTGCTAATTCTGTTACTACATTAGTGCACCTGGTTTTAGGTCAGTCTTCTCAAAATATGTTTCAGAGACTGCTTGCAAGTAAATCACCTGGGATGATTGTAAAAAAAAACAAAATGCTTGGAATAAAAATCTCTGAGGTTAAAGGCAGTAAATATGCATTTGTATAAAGCTTTCCAAGTTTAAGAAATCATGCTGTAAGTAAATCTGATTTGTCAAGAACTGGAGTTAAAACAACATGAACCATATTTAATAACTTGTTCTATAAAAGGATCGCACAATAATTCTTTGAGTAGAACATGCCCATTCTTTTAAAATATGATGCTATTTATGGAAAATTTGGCGATGTAGTTTTGAAACACATCGTTGTTGGAAGTGGTGCACATTATATCTTCTGTATTTGGCAACATTTGAGGAATCCTGTCCCTTTGTATCCATCATAAGATGACTGTGTGTTTCATGTACAAAGAATATAGACCAGTTTTTTTTTATCCAAATTCATGATATGGAACACTCCAGAAATCACATGAGGAAAGCCTATAAACTCATCAGCTGGATCTGAAATCAAGATGAACTAATCTACTTATATTTTGGGGGCATTGATCCATTTACATTTATTCATACTCTGTACTTCTAATTCTGTGTCAAGCCTGTTCCTTCCAGAGAGGAAGAAATTCATGCTCTTGAAATAAATGCATAGGTGAATAATGATTCTACAGTAGTTGAACTTATTAAATTTGAATATGTATTTTTTGCTATATAATTATATATTTATATACTAACATACATATGCAAATACATATATTAATTCAAATACAGATATATATTAATACATATATATTTATTATACAATATACAGTATTGTTCTTATCAGTTGGCAGATTAAAAGGATCTTTTATATCTTGCATATGGGGCTTAGCAAATACTTTTAAGAAAGAGTTGCATCCTAATTTTTTAGTAGAAATAGTCTCCATATTATGGCTCTCTTTCTTTTTAATTTCAGATTTTGTTGATGGACCTATACACCACAAGGCCTTACTTATATCTGTAACTGTCTGTAGTTTGCTCTTGGTCCTTATTATTTTATTCTGTTACTTCAGGTAAGTTTCTGACATGTGGATGTAGAATTTTGAGTTTGAAATATCCTCCTCACATGACTGTTGCACGTGTTATGTTTCACCATAGCTTTCTTTGACCTAATTAAATCTTAGATTTCCCTGATAATATCAGTTACTTTTGATAAATATTTGTCCTAATGAAGCTGTTAATTGATACCTTCTCATTTCTGTTTCAGACATCAAAGCCACCCAGATAAATTTCACCCTCAGGGAATTTAGGATAGCTAGGAGATTCAGGAACTAGTTGCTACTAAAGTTTGGTTGTTAAGTCGAGAAATGGTCACGTTGAACCTAGAATCATTCTAGTAATTCCTTATTTCCTAAGTTAACAATTTTCCCTTAAATATTGAAAAATTTTAAACCACATATTTTATTAGCTCTTCAGGTAAAATAAGCTTAGTTACTAAAGTTAAATGAGAGTTACAAATTAATTTTGTTCACCTAAGAACTTATTTTTTACTTTGTGAAATATCAAGGACCTTTACATTTTTATCATTCGCCTTTTGCGTCACTCATTTATGATACTTAATTCAAGTAAATTCATTTCTAATTGGAGGCATAATTATTGACAGAGTGTTTCTAAGGTTTGCATTTATTTCATTTATCTGTATTATTGCTTTATACACTATCTTAGATGAAATAGTTTGCTGTTATATCTTTTATAAAGGGGAAAATTTTTAGGCAATGAGTATTGGAACCATATAAAAATGTTATTGGAACCCCTGCTGGGAAATAGGCAATTGAATGGAGAAGAAGGATTATAGGTGGTTGGGACCAAGTAAAAACATGTAGTTCACTTAAAAAATAGGCCAGCAAAATCATTATGATTTATATCTTGTTAATCATAACTAAGGGTGATAAATACTAAGCCTGTATCTTGTAATGGTGGAGAAGTACTAGCATTTATCATGTAAGGGTAATAAATACTAAAATTTATCTTCTCTTGTGCTAAAATGAAATCTGCTGTGACGACTGTTTCATCTGCAGTGTTTTACCCCATCATTGCAATTCAGTATCTTAAATTATCTCCCTGTGTGCACCTTCAGGTATAAAAGACAAGAAACCAGGCCTCGGTACAGCATTGGGTTAGAACAGGACGAAACATACATTCCTCCTGGAGAATCCCTGAGAGACTTAATTGAGCAGTCTCAGAGCTCAGGAAGTGGATCAGGCCTCCCTCTGCTGGTATGAGAAGAACATATCCTGAATTTAAAGGAAATGTCTTCTGAGATGAAATGTCAATAAGTAGGGGTTTCATTTTACTGAAACAGATAGGGTAGTGGACAAAGAGAAGCTCTACGCTGTCGGTTAGACATCAGATCTCAGATGAAGGGCTTCCCGATAACATTTTGACATACTGGGGATAAGGTGATTGTTTTTCAATGTAAGTGTTTGGTTACAATCCAGACCCTTAGACATTCTGATAAGGAACAGATTAGAAAACATGAAGTATGGAAGCATCTTCCCTCTGCTTTCAGTAAGGATAGCGTTACTGAACTTTGGCCTGGCTTTTGAAGGCAGGAGCATTACATCCAGCTGGGATCTGAGTACTTCTGCAGGGGAAGAAGACTGCATTTCAGCCGAGGGCTTATGTTTCAGGATGAAGTCCTGGCTTTTCCATTCATGCGAGGTTTAATTTTCTGATGGTCAACATCGCCAATCTCGAAGAAAGCATACAACCAATCCAAGGCACTTGTTTGAATCAGAAAACATTTGATTCCTTAATAGACCATACCATGCAGAAAGTTTGTTGGGATGGAAAATAACAATTTTATGAGAAATCTATGTATTTTTTTAACAATCTCTTAAGATGGATTTTCCTAATCTTTATTGTCTGGTTCTGACGTTGGATATCAAGTTTACTTGATTGTTTTGGTGATCTCTTCTTATAGTATTAAAAGGTTTTTTTTTTCCAAATTCAAGTCAAGAATTATAATTTTTTTGGGATATAAAATCTATAAAATAAAAGGTATAATGTATAAAAGTATATATTTGATGTATATGACTTGAAGAATTTGAGAATAGGTATACATCTATGAAACCATCACCATCATTTATGCCATGAGCATCTCCATCGTCTCCAAAAGTTTCCTCCTGCCCTCTTTATTTATTTATTGTTATTTTTTTAATGTAAGAACGTATAATGTAAGATCTACTCTCTTAGGAAATTAAAAAAACATTTTTTAATGTTGATTTATTTTTGAGAAAGAGAGAGTGCGAGCACAAGCAGGGGAAGGGCAGAGAGAGACAGGGAGACACAGAATCCGAAGCAGGCCCCAGGCTCAGCTGTCAGCACAGAGCCCAGTGTGGGGCTTGAACCCATAAACTGTGAGATTATGACCTGAGCCAAAGTCAGACGCTTAACCAGCTGAGCCAGCCAGGTGCCCTCTTGGCAAATTTTTAACAATCCGGTACACTGTTGTTAAATGTAGGTGCTGCGCTGTGTAGCAGATCTCTAGGGCTTACTCATTTTGCATAAGTGAAACTCCTCTTTTTGATTAATATGTCCTCCGCAGGTAATAGACCAGACAGAAGACTACTCGTGAGGTAGTCATTATGACCAAACCGATTAATATTTTTTTATTGTAGAGGTTTTTAATATCAAATTTATTGTTGTTTATTCTTAGAATTTAATGTGTAGAAGATACAGTTTTTATATTTTAAAATATGTGTTATAACTTTTTTAAGAGGAAAGGACACATATTAAAATCCCCATTAGTACTGATGAATCAGATGTTTATGCTCTTGGAACTGAAACCTATTTGTTTTTCAGTGTTTTCCTCCCTAGAAGTTATAATAAATCTCAAAACAAAAGTACATTTTAAATTTCTGAATATAATTTAGTGACATTTTTTATCTTTGAGATAAGTTCCTATTCTTTCAAGCATTGCCAGTTCCATTAGTACATTCATTAAATTACGAGAAGATATATTATCATTAGAAAAGAAGTGCATGCGAGACTGTTTATGTCAGAGAATGTTCTGTAGGTTTACATATGCAGTGCTTTGTAGCATCTGTAAACTAAATAGAGTATTTCTGTAATAAATATGGGAAGTGTCCTCTCAAGTCAGTAATTTAACTATTTGTGGATTTGGCCCTCAACTGCCTTGTGCTCTCGATGCTTCTCTTCCCCTGTTTGGAAATGGAAACATATGGAACATTCCTTTGTATAGCAGGTTTGAACTCTTCTGAAGAGTTCCTTATTTACTTCAGGCTGAGTGGCTTAATTGCATGTCAGCAATGCTTTAATTTTTCCATCCTTCTTTTAGATAATAGCATTTAAAAAAAGTTTTTATCTTTTCCCTAAAAGCTTTTAGTCTGACACTGGTGCTGTTAATGACTCTGGGAATGCCTGGCATTACCTCTTGAATTAATAAAATCATCCATGATACAAAATCAGAGCCAACCCTAGTTGGTAGACATCTGTGGTAGGCATAATCATGCCCCCCAAAATGTCCTAATCCTCGGAATCTGTTATTTTACTTGGCAAAGGGGACTTAAGGTTGCTAATCAGCTCACCTTGAGATGACATTATTCTGGGTTACCTGAGTGGACTCACTGTATTGGTCCTTAAAAGTGTAATGCAAAAAGAAACACTTCAACTTTACTTGATACAGAGTACATTTCTGCTAAGAATTCATTCCAGTTTTCCGGTCAGATATTGTCAGAATTCTGTGCTAGGTTCTTTATATATGCCTCCTAAATTATGTAAATTGTCATCAGTACTTAGCCATTTCAGTCACAGAGTTCTTACGGTATTTTCATGTGAGTACAGATGGGCTGCAGATCATATGTAAAGAGACATTTAACCCTTAGACCACTTACCTCTCATATTTTCTTTCTCTTTGTTTCTACTGCTCTCTAACTCTTTAGAGCTCTCTTCAAGCTTAACTTCCTCTCCAGATCTAACCTGGGCTTTTTCTTCCACTTGTCCATTTTAAGTTTTTGACAATGACAATTAACGGTTCTACTTCAGAGTACAATTTTCAATAATGACTGTCTGCTTCCTTCTTTGTCATTTGTCTTCTGTTTCTTTACATATTTCATACTGTGTTCTATGGCATTGTACGTCTGAAAACTCCAGTATCTGAAATCTGAAGGGGTTTAATCTACTTGGGTTGTTTTTCTTGACTCTTATTTATACTGGCTGTTTCCTTTGGTTTTGAGGAATTTATTCTGTGGGATCATCTTTTCCTGTCTTCCTTCCTTCTCCTCCTTCATTTTCTTTCTTCCCTACCCCCCTTGCCTTGGGAATTTCTTGTATTTCTTTGTGAGGCTGATAATTCATTATAGTTTTTTATGTCTAATATCTTACCATGATCGGGTTGTATGGTGGCAAGGGTTCTTTCAAGGTACCGCATAGCTGGCTCTACTGGTGGGATGAAAAGTATTCTGCAAATGATTTTTTTCTGGAGAGGATGTATATTTGTTCTTACTGGGAGCCATGGGGTGCTACCTACCAACCTCAGGCAAATTTAGGGTCATTCGGTGGTCCCAGCTTAATGCCGAAGCCCTAGTTTCAGTTACTCCACTTTTAAAGGGGTCAGATTAGAGTCCAGATCTCAGTGCTCGTGTTTTTCTTCATCCAGACAGCAGCCTAGCTTCTGTATGTGCTCATGCTTACACTTCCCTGATCTGGTCTGAACTCTTCCCTCCCTCCCTCTCCCCATCTTCCTCCCTCTACTCTGCCCTTCCTGCTTGGAGACTTCCTTTATTTCTTTGTATCCAGCAGTGCATTGGAATTATGTTTCACTGTAATTTATGCATGATCAAGGATATAGTGGATGAATCCCTTTAGAGTGTCCAGTATCCTGCTATAGTAGTGGGAGTGAAGAATGTTCTATTCTGCCAATACCCATTGGTTTGTTTCCCATTCAGGTTTCCCATTCAGGTTTTTTTCCTCTATGAGAGTCATAATAGGCAGAGTGAAAGATTTAATAGTGCAGATATAATAATTCAAACCTTCAGAATCCATAATCACAAATACATTTAAAAAGACACAGTATAAATTAAGAAATAAATACAAATAACGTGTCTAAATAAAGAAAAACTACTGGCTAAATATATTTTGCATGCAGTAATTGTTTCTTCTCTGGAGGAAAAAAGAAAGATTAAACAAATCTGTAGTGCTGTGAATATACTAACAGTGTGTTTTGGGATTTAACAGGTCCAAAGGACTATAGCTAAGCAGATTCAGATGGTGAAACAGATTGGAAAAGGTCGCTATGGGGAAGTTTGGATGGGAAAGTGGCGTGGCGAAAAGGTAGCTGTGAAAGTGTTCTTCACCACAGAGGAGGCCAGCTGGTTCCGAGAGACAGAAATATATCAGACAGTGTTGATGAGGCATGAAAACATTTTGGGTGAGTCGGAATAGCAGTGTTCAGGGTTTCCTAGCTTTCCTCTATTTTCTGTTAACATCTGCCTATTAACCCATCTGTCTAGACCTGTGATGAAATATAGAGACATTTTCTTCTTGGCGTGAGCCCAAGAACGTCATAAGCTTCTACTGGGAGACCTCACAGGAGGAATGACTAAGCCACTTCTGTGAATGAATAGTGGGCTGGAAATGGAATACTCTCAAATATTTTTCTCTTTAGGGACAGGAAATGCAAATGTAATACCAGAATTTCTTAGGGTTTCTCAGGGATTTGAAGGAGCACATGTTTAAATGTTGTGAAAAGTTCTACAAGTTTTATATGCAGGGTGTGTGTATGTGTGTGTGCGCGCGCAATCCTCACTCCAGAGTTTATATTGAGAATTAATTTCTTAAAAACATTTTTCTCAAGTTAGAAATGATATACCTGTATCATCGAACTGGAAAGAGTCTCAGCTAAAATGGAGCATATGCCCTGACTCAAGACCTGTTTTGTAAATAATGTCTTATGTATAACTGTACTTTTACTATTAACTTAAATATAACGTAAGTATCAACAACTGACTAGAAAGGGCTCATGTTTTCAAGTACTAACTCTTAATGTTCTGCTACCTCTACTGTTTTGATGGCCTCTGATTGGTATTCATAATTTAATACTGTCATAGGCATAACCGTGAAGCTGAATGAAATGCTAAACAAAAGACACCTCCATGACAAAGAACGCCATTTGGGAATATGAATTATTCTTGATAGTATTCGGAAAACACTTGGCTTCAAACCTTTTTGTCTTTCTTCCTTTTAGGGTTCATTGCCGCAGATATCAAAGGGACAGGGTCTTGGACCCAGTTGTACCTAATTACAGACTATCACGAAAACGGTTCCCTCTATGACTATCTGAAGTCCACCACCCTAGATACGAAATCCATGCTGAAGTTAGCCTATTCCGCTGTCAGTGGCTTATGTCATTTACACACTGAAATCTTTAGCACTCAAGGCAAACCGGCAATCGCCCACCGCGATCTGAAAAGTAAGAACATCCTGGTGAAGAAAAACGGAACGTGCTGTATAGCTGACCTGGGCCTGGCTGTTAAATTTATTAGGTTCGTATCAAAGTGAACACATGCACTTGTTACGATTCTCTTCTGTCCCTTATTTACAGACTGTACGTTCTGGAGTTTGGTGCTTCTAGGATATTTAGGGGAGGTGCTTTATTAATTTTGATGTTTCTTTGGAGGGAAAACATAGAAGCATTTATTCGAAGGAATGTGTATTTGTGTCCTGTTGTTTCTGTGCTGCTCAGCAACCTGGCTTCCAGACAGAGTTTGCGTTAGGTTCGTAGCTCTCCTGAGGCTCTTTAGAAGAGGGTACCTACCTCATGTCTGGGGTGATTTGGTGAGCATCCTGCATAAGTTTGTAAGTAGGAAAGAGTTTCAGTAAAGATCTACGTGATAGGTAGCGATAAAGACAGTGTTTTTTTATCTGACGGAAGAAAGATCGTTTGCATAGATATTCCACGCGAAATGTTAGAAATGAGCAAAGCACAGTCTGCGTTCGGCACTGGCGGACTGTGACTTAAACAGGGAGTAACACATAGACCAGCATGTGTCATAACACAGCGGTTTCAGCCCACTGGGGCTCCTTGAAAGGACAGCAGCAGCTTGCACAGAACCCAGTCAGTGGGGCTCCGTTTTGCCCCTAATCAGAGCAGCCCTTTTATCTTACAGATGATTTAGTTAGAAGAAATGATTCCTTTGCCTTGAAGACAAAACAAAGGAGTTTGCAAACTGCTGGCCTAGAGGGATCTTCGTAGAACTAACTACCTTTTTAAAAACTCAGGCGAGGCTTAGCCTTTATTAATTTGGTGGATCCTCTTGTGGATTTTTTTTTCCCCAAAGAAGACTTGATAGAATATGAAACGTTTGGACAACAAAACTCATGAGAGAAGACTAATGGACTGTTATTTTTTTAAAGACTGAGGTGTGATTTAATAATAGGCCCGCAATACAGGAAGGTCTCCACCATTTAGGAGATGGTAAATTGAAGTTCTCACCTTTAAAATCAAAGCAGGAGGAAATAATTTGGACTGTAGATTTGAGTTAGAAATAAGAACCTCCTGACAGGATGAAAAAAATCCCTTCTCTCTTCTGAATTCTTTTATCTGAACTACAGCCTTTTTTTTTTTAAGTCTCTGCTAACAAAAAAATACATAAATAAATAAAAATAAAAAAATCCCATGATGCTTCTTAAATTACCAGCCTCTCTTCTGTCCTCCCCTGTTAAATTTCTTGAGTTCCAAAGAGTAATCTGCTTTCAGAATCCAGTAATTCACAGTATCTTGTGATTTTGTGTCTTCTTCTCCCTTCTCTCCTGAGCTCCTTTTTAAAGGATACCATTGATCTTTGTCACCAGAAGCCTTTCTTATTGTCATCCCACTGTCCACAGTGTGCAAACCTTTCTTCCTGCTATTTTCTTGATGTGCCTTTATTCCACATTCATTTTCTTTCCCTGTGGGTTCTGTTCTTTGTGTGTCTCTTACATATTTCCCCACTGCTAGATTTCCTGCTGATACCTGTTTTTCCTTTCTAGTTCTCAGTTTTGGTTGATCCATTCTAAAATGTGAGGTGCCTGACATTGCCTTTGTTCCTTAAGTTTTTGGTTTGTTCAGTTGAATAAATTCTCTCACCCTGATATTCCCACTGGAACTGAGTCGAGTTGGGTCCTCTACCATTTTTCTAGATTTCTGGAGTAAAGCATTATGTAGTTTTTGTAGTCTTTGCCTTTCCTGTTTTCAGGGTTTTTTCCTACATGCTGCTGTCTTGAAACCTAATTTTGGACATCATAATCATTTCATGGTGTCTGTAGCTTTGGGTTCAACTGTAGTTTATATTCTGAACACTTCATACTCTCTTACACCTTCAGGTGTTCTTAACATGCCTTTATCTTTACCCAAGTGTCCAGCAGCTCCTCTTCTGTTTGCATAGCTACTACTTCTCATTGCAGTTTATTTCTTTGGGACACTTCTTATCCCCTTATAAGTCTGACTTGTAGTTAGTCTTCCCCCTTCCCACGTGACCCTGTGCATACTCTCACGGCACTTCTCGTATTCTCGTGCAGTAATCATGGACTGCTTATCGGTTATTCCCAATGAAGACTAAGCTCCATGAAGGTAGATACCATGCTTTTTCTCGGACTTACATCCCTGGTGCCTTTCCTTGGTGTCCAGTACATAGGTGTTGCTCCCAAATTTTGTATAATGAACACAGATGCATGATCCCCTGTGAAGTACAGGATAAAGGAGAAAAGCATCTGTTTTTAGCTCCAGAGCTCCTACACACTCTGAATTAAATCCACCTTCCTGTTTTTTTTTTTTTTTTAATGTTTATTTAGTTTTGAGAGGGGGTAGAAGGAGAGAACGAGTGGGAGAGAGGCAGAGAGAGGTGGGTACTGAGGATCTGAAGTGGGCTCTGTGCTGTCAGCCGGGAGCCTGATGTGGGGCTTGAACTCACAGACCATGAGACCATAACCTGAACCAAATCGGATGCTCAACCCACCGAGCCACCCGGGTGCCCCCACCTCCCTTGTTTGCTGTCCTACAAATCCTCCAGCTTGTATGCGTGCTTTTGCAAAACGGATGTATTTGTTTTCTCCATATGTATTGCATGTTTGCTGCGCCTTGCACAGTTTCTAGTCTGGAATGCCCCTGCTGCTTCCTGTATCTTCATCTGGTCTCAGAGCTGCCTTTAAGTCACTTTACCCATCCCCCAGCTAGGGGTAATGACGTCATCTTCTCTACTCTGTAGTCATTTCCCAGCCCTGGTCTGACTGGTAGTGTATTAATACCTGCCTCATCTTGCCTACTTGTCACTGGGCATCTTGAGAGCAGGATCTGTGCCAGATTAATTACTGCATTTCCCATTTGACATGACATAGTGAATTATCCGTTATAGGTATTCCAACATTATTTTGAAGCCATGCATCTTGGCAATATCAAAATAATTGAGGACTTTTCTTCTCTGTAGACCTTAAAACAGACAAGGAACGTGAGTGTTCTATTTCTGAAACTCAGCTCTGCTAATATAAAAATGAACTAAATGGCCCCTCAGATTTCACACAAACCCTGATTCTAGGAAGCGGAGGGGAGTGCTTTAAGGGCTAATTCAGAGCTCTGTTTGGCATATATTGACTTGTTCATCAAGAGAAGAAAGCTTGAGGACACTGGCTCAGCTGAGAAACTGTGGCTGTTAGAGGCACAAATCTCATATGGCTAAAGAATAGCCGTGGAACCATTTACTTTTCTGGACCCCAGTTTCCTTCCGTTAAATGGAGGTTACATTTGATAATTTCAGAGATCCTTTTCACATTTTATTTTCTGAGTTTCAAAGGAACTTTGCTCTTCTCAATTTTTGAGCTTTACTTTTAAACCTTGCTTTATATGTTTTTCTGGCTTCTGCTCTTTTCCTGATTTTCCTATGTTGGGGCACGTGCACACACAGAGATCGTTAGAGATCTTATTACAAGCGGGGTCAAAGGTAACCCAGTGTGGAGTTCTCAGACTTCATAACTGAACTTCCTGTGAGAATATAATCTTTACCATGGTCTCTACATGGTAAGTGTTCTCTCAGGCTTTTAAGTCATTTCTGGGAGGTTCCCAGGGAAGTTGAGAGCCACAGAGAGAGTGGACTATACTTCAGAGATTTCCTGCTCATATAATTTTTTTTTAGCCTGTATTCATTTTTTCATCCACTCTCTTGAAAATGACATAAGTGCTGATGTATTTCTTGCCCAACAGAGACTTATCCAGGTGATGCCGGAGCAGACATCATCGTAACCCCAAATCTCTCTTGAGAGGAGAAAACGGTGACACGTGAAATCTCTTAAAGGAACTTCCGAATCTTTTCACTTTTTACTTTGGAGGATTAAGCAACCCCAATGGCCCTTCAGTGTCAGAATAATGTATTTTCTTAGGGGGAAAATAAACCCTGGTTTAGGATTTCTCTGGTATTAAATTTTAGATAGAAAAACTACAGTAAGACTGGTCTGTGACACGGATCTCCCAACTGATGACTGTCAAGTTGTCCGAATGCAACGGAGTTGGAGTTGGAGTTGGAGTGGCCCAGCCCCGAGGGGTGGGGGCAGAGGGGGCACTGCATTTCCTCCGTGTCCTTCTGATCTCATCACCACTAACCCTGCCTCTGGTTTGTGTACTTAGTGGTATTTTTAAAAAGAAGCATGCCTAAATGACTCCCCAGAGTCGGAGAACTCCGCTCATTAGTGGCAGAGTCAGTGCTCTCTGTCAGGATTTTTGCAGCCATACCCATTCTGTCTTCAAGGGTTTTTAAGTCTAAAGTTCTGTTTTTCAGAAATCCCGAGATGTCTCAGGATTTAATTATAGAAGCATTGAGTCCTTTTGCAAGTGCAGCAGAACATTCTCTCTTTGCTTAGCATCTGACTGGGCAGAGTTCAGCGTGGTGATGAGCGCCACCGCTACCTACCAGATGCTGTAGGAGACACCCAGGGAGGCGCACAGCCCCTTCTTCTGAAGGCTCAGGAGGATCTTTCATGCTTGGGAGGTTGCTTCCCTCTTCCTAAGAGGAGGTTCCTAAGGCTCTAGTATGTTTCATGTGTGGTTAATTTCAGGGTCAGTTGCAAGCCTTAAGCAAACGAGTGGCTTCCCTCCCGTGTTTTCTGCCACCTGCCCTTCTTTTATTGTTCTTGAAAGTTCAATTCTTCTTATTTATTTATTGTTTTGGAGTAGTTTATTTTCTTTTTCTTTCTTTTTTTAAAATTCAAATCCAAGTTAGTTAACATACAGTGCAATAATGATTTCAGGAATAGCATTTAGTGGTTCATCACTCACATATAGCACCCAGTGCTCATTCCAATAAATGTCTTCCTTAATGCTCATCACCCATGTAGCCCATCCCCCCACCCACCTCCCGTCCGGCAACACTGTTTGTTCTGTGTATTCAGGAGTCTCTTATGGTTTGCCTCCCTCTCTGTTTTTATCTTGTTTTTGCTTCCCTTCCCCTATGTTCATCTTTTTGTTTCTTGAATTCCACATATGAGCGAAGTCATATGATATTTATCTTTCTCTGGCTGA